CCCCCGCCGTCGCTCTCCCTAATCACTCAATGAGATTGGGGGGGAGAAACGGCGGGGGTGTCCATGATGGATTTTCCCCGCGTAAAAAAAAAAAAAAAGGCTTGCGGTTCCGAGAATATACCTCGGTAGGGTCTATATCCCTCCGAGTCAGGTCGTTGTCGATCATCATGTGATGGATGTTATCTGCGGGCAGGGACACCCCTACTTGATTGGTGGTGATTTTAACGCTAAACATAGGGTGTGGAATAATTTTATGGCGAACCCTAGGGGTAATGCCATATACAAATATTTTACGAATAACACCTTTGACATTCTACTCCCGGAAGACTTTACCAGGAGGGTAGTGGGCTACCGGCCCTCCACTCTGGATATTTTCCTGTCTACAGTCGATCTAGCTTTCGATTGTTCGGTCCTTTACCCTGGGCCGTCGGACCACTCGCCGGTCGTGTTTGTTGCCGTTAAAGATAAATTTAATGCCGGCAGTGACCGCAAGATAGATTGGGATAGTTATGAAAAACTTACAAACTGTTTCCAGATTACTACTAAATTTGACTGTAACAGCGAGGTTGATTCTTGCATCGAACGAATCAATGATTTACTTTCCAAGGCATTAAGAAGGGCTACTACTAAGATCAATACTTCTACTGCTAGGCACGAGTACCTCTGTAATGATGATTACCTGGTCGCGCTGATTAGGCGTAGGCGCCGTATCAGGAAACTGACTCAGTGCATTGGCATGAATGCTTTTGGTCACATCATTGAGGATCTGAACAGAGGTATACGTCGACAAATATCGCAGTTGAGAAATAAAGAGTGGAAATCCAAACTTGCCTCGTTTAAAAAAGTCTCACCTACCTTCTGGCCGGTCTATCATTCCCTGGCCGGAAAATTTAACAGGGGTAAATTCCCGGTTTTCAGGCACGACGGACGGGACGTTGTCGATGCTCGGGGCAAGGCCGAGCTGATAGCCGATCAATTTGAATCGGTTTACAGGGATGCCTGTAGGCTATCCTCAACTCATCAACCTATGGTCGATGCATTCATTAACAAGTTATCCAGCACACCCTTAGAAAACAATTTTGATCTCGCGATACTTGGTGACCTCTCGCCGCGGGAGATTCGGGATCTCTTTAGGGCCCTGGGAAATCGTAAGGCCCTGGGCGACGACGGGATCTCGTCGGTGATGCTGAAGATCGCGTCCTTCAAAGTGTGTTGTCAATTCTATTATATATTTAAATATTGTTTATTAAACGCTTACTTTCCGTCGGAGTGGAAAATCGATAGGGTTTCGCCCATTCACAAAAATGGGAAACCTAAGGAACTGGCCGCTAGTTACAGGCCTATTAGTCTGCTGCCCATTGCTGGCAAAGTACTCGAGACTTTTATTCACGACGCTTTAAATGCACATCTTTCTGAACAACATATCATGATTAATGAGCAATTTGGCTGTAGGCGGGCTCATTCCACGATACAGTAAATTGCTCGGCTGTCACAAGTCATTACAAGCGGATTTAATATTCGGCATAGTACAGCCATGGTTCTGCTTGATCTTGCCAAGGCATTTGATTCTGTCTGGCATAATGGCCTTGTATTTAAACTCCATACCCTTGGTTTTCATCTGGGTATCATCTCACTTATATACTGTTATAGCCCTGGGAAAGGGCTAGATTCCTTGTCATTTGTCGCTTTCGTAATACGCGCTCGGTAACAGTCAGCGAGTATTGAAATGTGGCGACTAATCATTTCGACACATTAGGTCATCGGTTTGAGATGCGCTCGAAATGTAGAGCATGTTGAAACGGCGACTAAGCGTTTCGACATAATTAAGGCAGTTCGAGATGCATACGAAAACCAGGACATGTCGAAATGATTAAAGAAAATTAGGATGCTGACTNCGTCTGAAATGCATTCTGTGTCCGGGTCTGCATCCGTTGTGGAGATGTCAGAAATTAAAGTCTAAATCGCCTTATGAGCGACGGGTCGAGATTAAACGGTTCAACCTGTGCTATAACTGTTTTGGCCCGCATAGAGTCAACGCGTGCAGCTCTAAATTACGCTGCGGCACGTGTCAAGGGAATCATCATTCGCTACTTCATATGGAGCCTATACGACCCCAGAATTCTACACAAATATCAAACGATTCAACTAAGAGATCTGATACGCCCAGTCATGAGCCAGTGCAAAGTGTAAAGGCATTAACTGCAAGCGTCTCCAAATCGAAGCGCGCGGTCATTCTCGCCACAGCTCAGGTTCTTCTTCGAGGACCGTGCGGTACGCATACTCGGGTGCGTGCGTTACTTGATCAGGGTTCGGAAGCGACGTTCGTTTCGGAGTCAATCGCGCAATTGCTCGGATTACCCAAGCGTCCAACCAACATTTCGTTATCAGGACTCGGTGCGAGCTCATCGGGAGTAGCTAAGGCAGTAACGTCGATTACTCTACAGTCGTTAACTGCCCCTGACTTTCTTTTAACGACGGAAGCCCTCGTACTTCCTCGTCTTACGTCTTACTTGCCAGCCCGTAGTATCATGGAGATAGATCTAAGTCAGTACGCAAACATAGTGTTAGCGGACCCACAATTTTATATCCGTGACACCATAGACGTGATATTGGGGGCTGATGTTTATGCACAACTGTTACGGTCCGGCGTGCGCAGGTTTGCTGGGTCACAGCTGACTGCCCAAAATACAGCGCTCGGATGGATTTTGTCGGGACCGGTTCAAGCGAGCGCGTCACGGCGGGCGGAGCACTCTACTCCGGCCCAAGCGCTGCATTGCGTTTCGGTACAGGACCTTGACGACTCGTTGCAACGGTTCTGGAATCTTGAGGAGATACCGAGCACTGCGTCCAAATTAACGCCAGAAGAGGAGGCATGCGAGACCCTTTTTCGTGAGTCGCATACGCGCGATTCAGAGGGCCGATTCGTAGTGCGGCTTCCTCTGAAGTCTATTCCACCGGCGGTGTCCACGGAGACGCGACGCATGGCGCTAGGCTCGCTCTCACATATGCATAGGCGGTTTTCACGGGACCCGAAACTTGAGGAAGCGTATTGCGACTTTATGTCTACATATGAACGACTCGGGCATATGACGCGCGTTCCAGCGACAGAGATCGATAACTCTCGGGCATGGTATTTACCACACCATGCAGTTGTCCAGCTTACTCAACCGACTCCGAAATTGCGAGTAGTTTTCGACGCGTCTAGATTGACAGGCGACAAGCACCGATTAAACGATTTCCTTATGCCAGGACCGGCTCTTCAAAGCGATCTCGCGTTGATATTACTTAATTGGCGCAAATACCGTTTCGTTTTCACGACCGATATAGTTAAAATGTTCCGGCAAATTCGCGTAGCCCCACAGGATCAGGACTATCAAAGGATAGTATGGGCCTCCAGTCCTAACGAGTCTCCAGCAGACTATCGTTTAACCACCGTGACGTATGAAACCGCTTGCGCGCCTTATCTAGCGATCCACACCTTATTGCAATTGGCGCAAAATGAGAGGCAACGACTTCCTCTCGGGGCTCAGTGTCTTGAGAATAATACCTACGACGATGATGTTTTTGCGGGAGCCGATGAACTCTCACTTGCGGTTACGAAGAGAGATGATCTAACGAAAATTCTCAAGTAGGCTAGCGTCGAGTTGGCTAAATGAGCCGCAAACCACGATGATCTCTTCCCGGTGCGCTTAAGCCAATCGCATACCGACGCCGAAAAACCGATTGATAAGAACGTGGCGGTTAATACACTGGGCATGAACTGGAGCCGTACGCGCGACGTGTTTACCTTCAGCATGATCGATTCTAAAAACCTAACCAGCGCGGCGACCAAGCGAGCGGTTCTTTCAAATATAGCACGTTTATTTGATCCTCTTGGCTGGCTCTCCCCAGTGACAATTATCGCAAAAATTCTGATGCAAGATTTATGGATTCTCAAGTGTGATTGGGACACTCCCTTGCCTGCGGCCGTACGCGATAGATGGCTGGAGTACTGTACTTCTCTTGCGTCCCTCTCGGAGTTATCTATAGATCGGTGGTTAGGAGCGTCTTTTAGCCAATCTTATCAATTGCATGGGTTTGCTGATGCCTCCACGCGTGCCTATACGGCTGCAGTATATCTTAGAATTGACGATGGTAACGGGAATTTTCGTGTTTCACTGTTGGCTGCCAAGACGAAGGTAGCCCCGGTCAAAACGGTCAGTATTCT